GAGGTCATAGTGGAAAGATTTTGTCCCATCAAGAAACAGCAGGTTTTATTCTTCCTTTCATTTGTAAGAAAACAGTCATATGCAATATTCATTACAAGAATGGCTGTTCTGTAACTATTGGTGGTCTTACAAGATAAGAAAGAAAAACAGCAGAAAATTGCATCACATTTAAGTATGTGTTACCTGATGTCTCTTAGCTGAAATCCCTCACCAAGTTCCGGCTATTGTCCAAGTTGAAGATAGAATTTCGAGTCAATCTTTTTGATATTCATGTGAAATCACTGGGAAAGTTAGTACAGTTGTATATATTTTGCTATTACTGTGAGCGCTTGGTGAATCTCATCTGTTGTCTCAGATCTGTAACCATCCCATTACCTAGCAGTATTAGGGTTTAGGTAAGCTTTCGTAGCCAGATCTCTTGAGCAGGGCTGAAGTACTGCTGCACAGCTGTGGTAGGTGTATTTTGCACTTGGCTAAGTCTGTACCCGTGGAAGGATCATCAGAATGATCCACAAGCTGAATGCCCCTTTAAATCCCATTCCAGCTTCTTGATTGTCTGGCTGCGTTTCTGGCCAGTAATGTCTTCCTTTGGTATAGAGCTAACAAATGATGCTCCCTTCAACTACACTCTTCATCTCTGTCATATTTGCTTTCATTCCCTGCTTTGATTTCTTGCTGGAGTTAGTAGTCTTGACTAAATTTAGGAAGTGGCAGAAGATATTTTTTCCATTTGCATTAGTTCATTTTGAAATTCTAGATGCTTTCTCCTATATTTTCAAGAGTCTACTTATTCTCTTTCCTTGGTTTAGCAGCGCAACCATGACAGATTTCTGTGAACTCCCCAACTTCTGTGAACTGATAGCAAGACCTGAGACAGCGTGGGTTTCGCACTCAGAAATGTTAGCATCCGAAATGTGAAGGCACTTTTCTCAAGGTGTGTTGAGGCCTCGAGCTGAGTGGGTCACACCTCTGTCTCTGGGCGGCTCATAAAGGTGACCTCGTAGCTGTGTAGCTCCAGAAAAAGAAGGGACGTGTGCCACGTGTCCACTCTTGACTGCTCGTGGCAGGGCAAGTGTGAGTTGCCAGCTTCACAGCAGGTGGCTAAAGCCCCATTATTCACTCCGTTAAATCTGTTCCTGGTGTTTGTCAACGCAGTCCTCATTTAACTGGCCAGTCCTTCGCCAGTCCTGTTATCTCAACTTAAAACCGGGGAATAGACTTTATCGGGTTGAGTTGGTCGAATCATGCTGCGCAGTAAGTCATTCCTACAGTGCATCTTTACACCAGTTAGGGGTGTAGAGACGCATTCCTCCATCTGGATGAATTGTGCCTCAGGAAATACACCTGGAAGATTTCGCATCTACATTTCGCGGATTGCAACAGGACCTGTGCCGTATAGTACAAAATATATTCTCTCTGTTTATCGGCTGGTGTGAAAGACTAGGGTTGCTGGTCTTTCAGAAGGAAACATCTGGAAAGGAAGGATTGCTAAGAATAAGGGCTTTCTACGTAGGAAGTTGAGGGCTACTGCATATTCCCACTTGTCCCCCTTGCACCAGGGGGACTACAAAGTACCGCCAATTACAAACTACTTGAATATGGTTTCAGCACGGTGGCCACATGTCCTAGCTTGTAGGTTCAAGAATTTCCATAATACCCCTCTGATACTGTGCTCTTAAAAAGGAAGAAAAAAGACCATGGAGAAGATCTTCACTTGCTTGGCAGTAATCTGATTCCAGCATGGAAACTGGCATTCCCCACTTCTCATCCATTCCTGTTCTTTTTGTCTGTGTGCCTGCATATCGTTGCAACCCAAATGTACTGCTGTTATTTGTGATAATATTTTGCATATGTCAAGAAAGTTTCATTTTCTTTAATAGAAATAAGTGAAGCATAATACCCAAAGGTAAAGTATTTTCTGTGTGACTGCGCATGATGCAATAGATCTCTCCACATACTCATGCTTTTTTGTATGAGTGTTTTCTAGTTCTCATTCATAAATGTCTGGCTTTCCAAACTATGCCTCTGGCCGATCTTAGCATAAATATCCATTTATTCATCACTTTCTTTTTTAATACTAACATACTTGGCACAGCTATTTTTCCTGTCTTTTTTTTTTTTTTTTCCAGTCAACATTTCTGTTTAGTTTATGCCCTCTGAAGAACTTTTTGTAACCCACTGTTGTAATTTTATTAGTTGCATAGTTGGCACAATTCAGCACAGCCATTCAGCTTACCTTGAGGGAAGCCATACTACTGAGATTTGAAACACAGTTATAATACTGAGCAACACGGAGTGCTATTTTAATTGTTAATTGGTCAAAGTGAATGCTGGAATGAATGCTTCCAGTTTCAGAATAGGTGTACAATGCTTACTAAAAAGGAATCTATGTGTCTGGAAGTTATTAAAACAAACTCCTAACAGCATATTTAAATATAAATCCAGGTAATGAAGCAGTAATTCTCTACAAAATATTCCTCCACTTATCCCTTAACATATTGGGTAATATTTAACGTGGGTAGTGTCTATCATTTTGGTACCAATAAAAATTGCATAGCAGAGTGTTTGATTCATGTTGTTTGGCTGAGGAGGCATTTAAAAGTACGTAATGGGTTGTCGCTGGTAGGGTGGAATGACTGAATTTGAAGAGGTATATTCCACTAAAGACGTTTGTTTTTTCTTGTAGGTCAACCTAGTTTGCATAGATTTCTTGACAGAAGATAAGCAAATCAGATTTTGTGCATTTGCATGCATTTTTATGATTTCCAAAGAAATACAGCAATTTCAATGCTGTTCTGTAACTACTTCAAAACAGCTATTGCTATCCATGTGGTTATGTCTTTTCTTTACTTGCTTTACATGGCTGCTTATGGTCTCGTAGAAACTTGTTGCTGTGTTTTGTTTTCTGGATGTCAGTGGCATACTTCATTAGAAACAAGTGGTATTGAGTTGCATTTCCAGAACTGCACAAGCCAGAAAACATGTTTTTATACATTTACACATCGGTAAAAATGTGTCATCACTGCCCATGAGGGCCTTGGCCAACACCATTTACAAGTCAGAGACGTTTCATTGACTTCACTGGGATGAGGACTGACTCTTAATTTACTGAACAGGGAGAGGATAATCACATATTACTTACCAGGTTTAAGTCTAAAGTGCTGCTGGTTTTGAAAAGTTTAAATAGAGTCAACTTACTTCCGTAATGCCAATGATACCACTGATGAAATCAAAGCATTGCTTACCTTATCTAGCAGGCAGATATAAAGCGCTAATATACTTCACGGTGAGGATATTCCCCACCTAAAATGATAACTGTTTTGTTATTTAAGTGCAGTTTGACGTTCTCTTATTAATGTACAATGTAGTTTTGGACAATTACCAAAAGCATGCTATATTCTTTCTATATTTTCATCAAATCTCATGAGTAACCAAGTTATATGTGCATTGGTGTAGAAATAATCAAAAGGACAATCAAACAAAAAGCATCCGACGTCTTAAAAAAGTCTGTATCTTCTTTTTAAGAACAGCTGTTGGTCATAGTAGGACTCTGAGGAGTCACAGGAGTGAAGTTACAGAAACCCACGTAAAGGGATTTTTAAGTGATTAAGGCCTTTCAGTGTTAGTCTCATAGTTCCTGAAGAAATCAACTTCTCCATATTTTCTGCGCGCTAAAATCGTAAGTGCAAGAATTGTGTCAAAAGGCTTTGACAGAAAACAGTTAAACCAGTAATTTGGTCACATGGTAGAATGTATTTTGGAATATGGAGATCTGTTTTAATCTCATTTATAATTTCTTCTAAAATGTCAATCTCTGTCTGATGCTGATGATATTTATGACTTCTGTGAATCCTCAGAGTCATTTGGAAGTGTAACGTACTCATCCTCTCAGCAATCTAATGAAACAAGCAGATACTGTCTTGGTTTTGCAGACCATGATGCTGACTTGTAACAGGAGAGGAGATTTCAGAAGTGGCTAGCTCACATGAGGCACACTAGAATATTTCTTCCTAAACAAGGGAAAGCAGACACGTGGCCAGATTCTGGCCACAATTCCGCCTTCCTTTGGCTCCCTGGGGATGTAAGAGAAGGGGGACCAGCCATGAGACTGCTTTAATTTGCAGGCCCAGCCAGTTCCTGTAGCTTCAAGCATGGCAGGAGCGGTAAGAGAGTTTAAAGCTGCCCTTTCTTCTCAGCCGTGACGAGCAGTGCTTGGTGCACGTAGTATCTAGACCAGTGTCTTCGTGGCACAGCCAGGATGACAGCTCAGGAGTTCCTGGCTCCCTAGATCGTGTTCACAACATTACACCAGCCAATTCTAAGCCCATTTTCTCTTGCAGAAGTTTTGTGGGCCAAATCTCCATTTGATACCTAGTTATTCTAGATACAGGGCTATGGAGCAATTTACAGCAGCTGAGGATCTGACCTTTAAATGAAATGATACCAGTGAAGCATTTGCGTAGGCAATGTGTGCCACGGAGCTGCCCGCCTGTTGAGAACGCTCCAGCAAACAAGAGGAGGATAGCCGTGGTTATTTGGGAGTTGTGGCCTCTTTCCTGTGTCGGAAATTATTTACCCTATTCATGTCAGATATTGGCATCTCTCCGCTCTTCTGGTCACCTGAAGAAAACACAGGTAAAAGAGTATAGGTAAAAAGAGGCATCATTTGCAATTTAAAGATTAAATAAATATATGATTTCACAAAGGTCAGTTGGTGCTCCCAGAAATCCAAATTATAGTTGATTCTTCTGTGCAGTCTAATAAAAGAGAGTTTTTTCCTGGCACTGCTACTTGTGTTTTTATTGCTTTTGTATTGTGCTTTGAAAGAAATAAGAAATGGTATTTTTCCCCCAAATGAATAACTGTATTGAATTGTTCGTACTCTCTTAATTTTCTTGAGCTTTACTCCTGGGTAGAGGTTAAGATGCTTTCCAGTATTGCTAATCTAGTTTGCTACCACTAACATGGGAATGCCTGATATTTTTCCATTTGCAATGTAGTACACGCCAGAAGATTTTATCGAATATGACTATGAGTATGGGGATGCAGATTATAAAGAAACTGATTCTGTAACAGAGGGACCCCCACTGTTTGAAGAGACAGTAGCACAAACAGAGGTAACAGCATCTGATCTGTTTGTTGTGTGGTGTCCAGCTGTCCCCTACCACATGGTTTGTCAATTTGTGTCTTCTGTTTATAAGCTTAATGTTTTCCTTTCACTCATTTCTTTACTCTGTAGCTGTAACACTCGCTTTCAGTTAGAGATGGAAGGTCTCACGGCTGACAGCATTCATCTCACATTTGGTTACCCTTCTTTCATTCACGCTTTCTCAATTTTCTTTTCATTTTATTTATGTTTTCCCATTCCATCTTTCATAACGTTTGCAGAAAAAGAAAGCCACGGTCAAAAAGAAGAAGAGGACAGTGGCCGCTAGCTCAAAGGACAAACCCCAAAAGGCCACAACAAAAAAATCTGAAAAATATGCATCCAAGAAGAAGAACAGTTATCAAGCAGCAACAAAAGGCAAACTAGGGGTAAAGGTAGCCAAGAAATAATCAAGATCTTTCCCAGGCCAAGACTGGAAGATCTCTGATAATAAGAAAAAATATACCTAACCCCACTAGATGAATACGTCTGGTTAATACCATAACCTGAATAAAACTGATACCTCTTGAATTTTTCCTACAGCATTTTTTTAATAATGTACCTTTCCTTTGATACCAGGCAAATGTTGTTGATGGATTTCAAGAGTATAGCATAGCTGAAAATGACTACGGGCCCCAGACAGAAGCTCCCTCCAGAACTACTGAAGCAAATGAGGTAAAGAGGGCTCGAGAAAATGATAGGCAAAAATATTTGCCCACCAGGTGTCGATGATTAAAAAAGCACAAACCCATTTTAAAAGGGTGAACATCCGTCTGCATAAATATACATAGCTATACATAACAGCAATTAATGCAATTTTATGCTTTCTCAGCCAATATCAGAACCTACTATTTTCTTGGGCAGAACTCCCATTAATTCTGTAGAGATCTGCTGAATCTTTAGACTGCAGAGTTCATGATTCTGGAAATCATTCAGTGATACATGCTGTGGAAATGCAGGGTTGTTGCATTCAGTGTGGATGTGAGCGGACCTATGTCTAGTATAAACTAGGTTAAATACTAGACATAGTCCTCCTAACCTAAGAGGAAGTGAAGTCTCTAGTTTTTCTTGTAACTTCTAAGATGCAGCATAAAATGAGCCTAACACAAGACCAAGGACGGCTACAACCATAGCAGCATATTGAAGTTGAGTCAGAAGCCATAATTTCTTTTTAATAGTTCTTCAGCTAACAAAGCCAAATTATTTATTTTTCACTGAGGTTCTATGAAACATTGTATTTTGAACTGTCAAAAAAGATAAAAATATTATTTTGACTTATGTTAGAAACCACTTAGAAAGCCACAATGACAAGCCTAAACATTCTTTTGTTAAGATTACTACACCTAAAGCCAGTGTTGATTAATATGTCTGCATATTAATTAATGCTAGTTTTAGAAAAATGATGGCTGATTATAAGAAATACTGTTTTCATTTTTATTTCACATTTTCCTTTCAAAATGAAGATATGTTGCTTAAAAGATGTACAAAACTGCCCCTCCCCAACATTTGAAAAGAGAAAAAGACTCCCCATTTGGTTTTGGTTTTCCTCCTCTGTATGTTGGAAGGCGAAGGTGGATTAAGATATTTTTTACTCATTCTACTGTAAACTATTCTTGCGTTAAATCTCCTGTTTCCTTCTCACAAGTTGATCGAGAGAGGCATATTTAAATCATTCTCTTTCTTGGGCAAGTGTGGACCAATTGTACAATAGCACAGTTGTTATGAGGGGGATCCAAAGTGCTAAGCGCTTTCCTTAGCAAGAGCAGTCCTGCGTAAAGGCAAAATTTGGCTTCGAATTGGTTCAGATCCACATTTACTCTAGCTGTAAGGCAAAGTCCTGTAGCTAATGGAATTAGGCAACTGTTAAATCAGAATCTGGCCTTCTATTTTAATTGCAATATATTTCAATGTCATGGTTAGATCAACATACTTTTAATTACTCTGGTTGTTGATTAGCATTTTAATATATTTTTTAAGACCATGCTAGTTCACTAGTTCATCTTGTCTGACCATCTAGAATATCCATCTCTTATTAGCAATATCTGAACTTCGATTTCTTTCAAAATTATCCTTTCAAGAGACCTCTGTAAGAGGATAAAGCAATCCTTTTCACAAATGGTTTTGTACATCTCAAATATAGCATTCTTTTAAACTGCTTTGGTGCTTGTAAGTTGGTTGCTTGGTTTGACAGTTTACGTACTTGCAGATGAAACCTTAGATTTCAGAAATGTTAAAATTGATCCGAGTTTTGCAGGTGGAATTTGACCTATCCAAAAAATATATAAATTGCCATGACAGACATGAACCATGACTTTTTGAGTGATAAATAAACTGCCAAATCATTAACAAGAGAAAAGAAGCTGAAACATTTAGCTCAGTATTGGTATTTACAAACACAAAATAATAAAGAAGGCTGGGCTTAAGTATTAAGTGGTGCTTGCACTTTCTGTACATTGTTATTGTAAAAATGCCTGAATTTATTCACTGCTCATTGTGGTGCATATGTCTATTCATGAATGCTTGTAAATGTGAAACCAAGCAGGGAAATGTAGCTATATTTGGCACTAAAGTAACATTAAGCAAGCAGTACACATAGCAGACTGGATATATTGAATTCAGTGGGTTTGGAAATTAAAAAAAAAAAAAGCATATGAAAGCATTACTTCTTTGTACTACTTATACAAAGATCTTTTAATTGCTCTGAAAGGCTGGACTTCCATTCCTTCAGACTCTAATTAAAAGACAATTTGCTGTAGTTCTACTGTTCTTTCTTCTTTTGACAAGTCGTCATGGTGGATCAGCATATGCTTATATTGCTTTACTAACAATAACTCACGTATTCCTCCTATTCCCAAATCTTTGCTACTGCTATGAATAGCAAAATCCTGTTGAAGAAGTATTTGCTGAAGAATACATAACTGGAGAGGATTATGATAAAAAAACTGAGGAAACTGAATATGGAAGCAGAGGAGTAGACCTCAGTGAATCTGATCTGCTGGTAGATGGAGATTTAGGCGAATATGATTTTTATGAATATAAAGAATATGAAGAGAAACCAACTGATTCCACTAATGAGGAGTTTGGTCCAGGTGTTCCTGCAGAGACCGATATCACAGAAACGAGCGTAAGTTGATTGAAGGCACAATGCAGATTCATTTAATTTAGTGATTCTTTTATAGTTGTACAGTCTCAGAACTGTACAGAGCCTGATCCGGAGCTCCTTGTACATATTAGATATGTTCTCACTTTTGATAGGCTTTGGATCAAGCCCGTCCTTGTTTTAGTAATCCTGAACTTTTTATTTTTATTAAATGCAGGGTTCTTGTCTTTTGGTGAAGGGAGTAAGGGAGGGTTGAAGATGGGAGGGGAAGTAAAGAAGAGGTGGAATTTCAAAAATAAATGATAAAATGAACGGTTTTAAAAATCTTTCTAAACTAGAGCTAAAGCTGGAAAGAATGTAAGTTCTAATGCAGGTGCAAGTACTGTAATTAATATTTCTATATGATTACCCGAAGAACTGGAAATGCATGTAAGTGTTGAGAATCCTATGGCTTCTGCTGCTTTCCAAGGAGAAAATTCATGAGTGGGAAGGTGGAGGTCTGAACCCTTTCATGAAAATAAGCTTAGTCAATGATGACAGGTTTATGACCTTGCAGGAGTGATTTAACAGCTCAGTATATATAAAGGAAGATAGGATGACATGGTGGATCCTGTGAATCATGCTCTTTTTTGTGTGTTTTATAGCTCTCTCCTTCCCTCTGACTTAATCACAGGCTTAACAGCAAGGCTTTAACTTTCCTTTAGTTGTGCCAAAATCCTCGTTTACCAGTTTACCAGACTGTGGAAGCTGCAAAGAAAGCTAATATGACTAAGACTGGAAGCAAAATTAATTCCCACTTGGATTTTTAATTGGGAAGGCCCTGAATATAGTAGGAAAGGAGAATTTTGTTTGCAGTGTTTGCTCAGTCTCGTCTTTATTTTCTCCTCACAAACTCCAAACTTGAGTTTACAAAGGATCCAAGAAATAACAGCAAATGCTGTGAGGTTGCTTTTCTCTGCCAACCTTGAAACCCATACTTCTGTATTTCATTTATCACTCCTTTCTAAACCCTGCTGGGGTCATTGTATTTTTTAATGATCCTTATCTATGCAATGTGATACAAGCTTACTTTTTTCCTTCTAGCACAGATGGGGACACTGTGGCAGAATGACACAGAAAAGGTCAGATTATCTGCACAGCAAAGAGCCCATAAGGCACCATTTGTGCCTGCATTAAGCAGATGACTGTGTAGACTCTATCCCCTGGTGTAAATTTCAACTTAAAATGCCCTGCTGCAAAACCGGAGGAGTCAGGAGGCTTGAGTTAGAAGCCAGGCTCTGACCTGTGCCAGCTTTATTACGACTCTCATCTGCTGAACCAGATATATCATTTTCCTTTGGCATGTGGATGTATTTGGAACAAGTGAAGTTCTACCTTTGATAAAAAAGGCAAGACGAAAAGTACTCATTACCTGGAAACTTTCAAAAAAGGGGCAATATTTCCAAAGATGGAGACCTGATGTAATTTTTTACAGACAATTTTCATTAATGTAATAAAACATTTTTATCTATACCTCTTGCTACTTGATTTTTATGAACTACTGCATCGTTACTAGTGCGATCTGTGCCTTTTATAAAGCAATACAAAAAGCACCAAGCCATGAATCTAGATCTCTGTTTTTCCTTTCCAAAATGTTTCATATTGAAATGCTGTAACATTATCCTTAACATTCTCAAATCCCCAGCTATTTTAGTATAAACATGGAATCACTCTACTGAAATAAAAATAACTTTCCAAATTTTCATCTGGTCAGAGCTGAATTTAATTTCTAATTTGCAGTGGATATGTTAGCAATCAAGAGAGGTACTTCTGAAGAAAAATACATACCTCCTGGTTTGAAAAAAAAAATCAGTTTCTTTTTCTTTGTTTGAAACTTGAATCTGTCTGTGTTCTGCCATTAGCATGTGTTACTGACCTATTGGTTTAGGTACTTCTGAACCCAAAACTTCCCATAGAGCTGATCTTAAAAGAATTTTGCAGTTGATGGTAATTCATGTAGTTAGGAGGCATAACTGGCTATCCATGAAATATTATTTCATGTTTACAGTGCCACTTAACTCCTTTGCCATTTATGGCATGAAGTCACAGACTCTTCTGAGGCTCCTTTACATGTTGTGGATGTCTAATGAATAACATTAGGAGCTTGAAGGGTACTGTCCATATGGGCCCAAGGGATCTTTCTTTCCGGCTTACTTCAGGCTTGCTTGACTCAGAAAGCCATGAAGAATCCTTGTTAATTGCCAAGAATATGCCCAACATTTCAAACAAGAAAAGAAACAACTTTGTGACAGAAGTTTTAGATTCTTAGTCCAAAGTCCTAGTGCAGACCGTGGGATGCAGACTGTTGCATCTCACTGGAAAAACTACAAATGGACAAGATCCAATAATTTGAAAAGTATGCATGCAGGTTTTGCATTTTCCATTTCTCATGTATTAAATATTTTTGATTGATATGGTTTGTGCCTGTGATGTGTTTTTCATAACACAGGTCAGTTCCAGCTTTAGCTTTCAGTTACAGGTTGCTGCAGTTCTTTATTGTACCAGGTCCTTAGACCTTCTACTTATTTCCATTTTCGGGGCTGTTTTTACTGGGCAGGTGACTGGACACGGGGCTTATGGAGAAAAAGGCCAAAAGGGAGAACCAGCTGTGATTGAACCTGTAAGTACAGATGTGGGTGAGTTTTTCTTTAGCACTGTATACCATATGTACACTGTTGATACACCATTATCAAACCATGTTGTTCACGATAGGATGACGGTAACCTTACCCGTGATCTCTGAAACAATCACCTGCAGCGTGGACGGTGTAAAAGTGATAACAGGCAGTAGCCTGTTCAGCCTTCTCTTCCCATTACACAAAGGACTAACCACACGTTCCTTAAAACAAGGAGAATCTTCTTGTGCAGAGGAACACAGAGCATAGATCTGCTCCTCAGGCCATGCAGTAACTACAGCTTGGACAGACCTACAGAGAGAGCTTCCAGCTTAGGCACAGGTGCCACTGTAAATACAGGTTTCAATAAGCACAAGGAAGTCCCTTAGAGAAGTTAAATAAATTCTTGTATGTTTAACCTGTGCAGGTGCAATCAAACTGCTAAAAGATTAATTAAATGCTTTCTTCGGAGGTTACAACTTGGTCATAAGCACAGTAATGCATCAGTAGCTTACAGAATTTTTCTCGTCTTTAAACAGAAGTATAGTAACTAAGTGGATTTTACAGTAGGACAAAGTTATACTGTAGCAGCATGCTTGACAGTTAGAAACTAAAATGTAACTGAATTTAAAAGAAAACATAGATTATAGAAAAATAATCATTTTATAATACCTAGCAGGAGTTGAATGCCAGTGTGGTTTACTTGTCTAGAATTTTCAAGGACTGCTTTCAAATATGTACTTGGCAAAATAGAAATTAAAGTTTAATCTGGTTTTTATTTTATAGAAAATTAGGTACGGAAATATCAAGGGAAAAAACTAGCTTAAGTTGAAGCCTGATAAAATACTGTGATGTGTCGTTGTTACCTAAATATCAAATGTCTGGATTCTGTGATCCAAAAGCTCCCTTTTAAATCTATATTCCTACCCCAGGATTAGCATTTGGTTAAGTTGCTGATCACCAAAGTTAAAGGACTCCAATAATCAACAAGTTACAAGTGAAGATTGTGACCTCTCAGTCATGATCTGTGAAGAAGCTCAGAGTGTCTTGGCTCATAAAATGCAGGGCTTTTTTAAACCATTGCAAGATACATTTAGTTTACATCCATAATACTGAAGAGATATCCACTGCCAGTCTCCAATGTTGTAGGAGTTCCCTGCATGTAGCTTCAAGCTTGTTTGTCCGGTCCTTCCTATGGAAAGCCAAGCACAAGTGAGGATCATGTATTTGTAGGTCTTACCATGACCTGCAATTTGGACTAGTGTCCAAATTTTTTTTTTTTTTTCACTGAAAAAAAGAAACTAGGAGGTGCTGTAAGACCCACAACATAGAAATAGCCAGAGCTATTCACATCAAATGCTTTAACAGCATTTAAAAAAAAATATTTTGAATCAAGTACTGTGAGATCCCTCCAGCCTAGAAGTCTTTCTCACTTTTAAAGCCACCCAGCAATTCAGATTCCAATTCTAGTAACTGGGGAGAGAAGACCCCCAGAAAAGTTTATCAAAGCACTAAGAAATATTAACTTAAGTAGTTCAGCTAAAAAGATGTTTTATATTTTTCCCCGAGACCCTACCAATTTAGTATCTTTTTCCATCCTCCCCTAGGGTATGCTCATTGAAGGACCACCGGGACCAAGAGGACCTGCTGTAAGTAGATTAATCACAATTTCCTTTTATTGCCTTTGATTTATCCACTGTGCTTTGGTATTCATGAGTTAACACAATTCATATTGATCTTATCATAGTTCCCAAATGGTATAACGGACTTAGCGTTTTTAGAAGGGAGTAAAAAAAGGTCATCTCCAGCATTTTCAGTGGCAGCACGCTACAACCTGAGTGCACGTGAAAATCAAACTTTTTAATGTTGACTATAAATCTTTTTAAGACAAAAAAGTATGCTGCCTTATAAATTATTTTATCCAAATGTGTGTTCAACACAACTTTCCAGAGAAAAAATAGTTCGAAAGTGCTGCAAGCCGTCATTCAGCATAATAATGTCATTCATTTTCCATAGGGTCTTACAGGTCCCCCAGGTCTACAAGGTCCTGTTGGTCCTCCAGGTGACCCTGGTGAAAGGGTAAGTCAACACACAGATTATCCTGGGTATTCATGGTGTGTCTTGCACTAACTGCTGTAACAGTAGGTGGGTTAGATCCTGATCTGAAATATATACACACAGGTTAAGAAACTTCAGTGGGACCAAGGCTGATTTACTCAGCTGGGCAAATCAACTGAGAATCTGGACAAACATTTCCTTAGTGGTAGAAATGTCTACTGTAAATACAGGAAAAAATTTAAGTTCCTATTTGCCTGTATTTTCTGGTTTGATGTGAATTATTTTAAAATACAATAAAGCAATAGGTACAAACATTTCATTTGGATTTGAATGAGTTTTAAAAAAATCACTATGACCTCAGCTGTAACATGTAGACACACAGAGAAAAACAAGCTCTGCAGAATCGAAATACACATGGAAATATTGAAAGCGATGGATAATATTTAGATGATCCAAGCAGAATTTATTGGCCATATTAAATAACATACTGCATGAGAACCCTATCCAGTCATGAATATTGAAATTTAAGCTATTATTTTAGTCTGACGTGTTCTCACAAGCCTTTTCTTACTGCTACAACTAACACAATTTTGAAACAGCCTAAAAATGCTGGAAAATATGCTACAAAAAAACTTCCCGGAGTTTTACGAGTGATGGTTTACTGATGAGTCTAGCATGCTCATGCTGTATTTGTGTGTAGAAGGTGTTGAGAAGATGCTATTGCTTTGCTGAATAATGAGGTAATGTTAAAATCCCAACAATACTTCACCTTGATAGTAAGTCAGCGTCCACCCTTCTTTCATATTTCTTTCCCGTAGATTAACTAAACAACATATTTTGGAATTTAAACATATTTAAATGGGAATTTTAAGACATTGTAATGGAGTAACTACTGATAATACTCAGTTTTTTAGCTAACTTCTTACTGAATTAATCATAAAGAAATTCTTGACTAAACACATCATGTGGCTGTCATGGAACAGGCTTCATGTTTTATATAAAAAAGGACACATTACACAAATAAATAGCTGTAGAAATGAGTTACCAAATTCATGACAACAACACAGATTTCTGCAACTGGATTCTGCTGTCAGATTCCATCCTAATGAAATAACATGTCTTACTTTATATTTTAAACTTATGTGGACAGGTTTGGGTTTTTACTTAAACAACAATCAGTGTATATGAATAAAGGCTCTAGCTCTTGCTATAACTATTCTGACTACTTTTCATCTTAAGTAAAAAATTCAGAAAAGTAACATTCTGAGAAAATTACCACTCAAGAAAATGGCATGGCTTAGTTTTAAAAAGCCCGCATTAATACCTAGAATAATTGAGAATGTTGTTTAAGCACGGAACTGCAGAAGAATTAGTTGAGAAATCTACCGCTTCTTGTAGTTGCCTATGGTGCTTCAGCTTTTGTACTAAATTATTCTAATCCTAATAATGGGTACAAGACAACTGAGAAATGAATGAACATACCCTTCTGCAGAGGACCGTAAGTGGTCCCACTTTTGCTTACTATAGGGATGAATTTCACTCATACAAAATGGTGCAATGGAAGAAGAAAGTGAAAACTCATCTAACCTTCAGTTCTATCTTCAGTAATCTAATCGTCTTCTGATCTAATCTTTCAGTTCTAATCTTCGCAAAGACTCATAATCACCTGGCATAAAGTCACTGCAGGTCAGAGTGAAGGTTCTTCGGGTGCTTTGCAAGTGCATTTAATTATTTTTCTATTTTTTAACCTTAACTCAAAGTTGCCTGGATATACAATGGTTCTTTTTAACAATTACAACATTTTATTCAGTGTTTTGCATCTGAATTAGTAATAATTCTCAATTTAAGATTTTAAGTTCATTATTAGTAGGGAATTATTTTTTGATGCTTCAAGTTTTTTTCAAAAAGAGCTCAAATGGACTCAGTAGCAGACTACTGGTCTTAATTCTTGAAGAGGGGAAAAAACACCAAAATTTTTCAGATCAGCTTTCCCATTGTTTTGTTCAACTCCTGCGCAGCGGGAGGAACCAGTTAAGACAGTTCGATGCTTGTTGGTCTGCCATTGCAACCCTGCAGAGAGCCTTTCTGGGGAATGAGTGCTTCGTTTGGCAGCAGGCAAATGAGCACTCCCGATGCAGGTCCTTCCTGCCCTCGACAGCTTCAGCTGGTAAAAATGCAGCATGCAAATTGCTGGGAGGAGAGGTGCAGTTATAACTCTCGCTGCTGTCACAACAGCAATATTTATCTATGCGGCATGTTGGATCAATACTCGTGAGCATCATGTACACACATTGGTACATTTCTTCAACTCCAGCTTGCCCCAAAAGTTTAGCTCTTTTTAAACTGTAAGGGAGAATTTGATTTCATGAAAACCAGATTTCAAGTCATAGCTGCAGGAGTTACATAGCCTTTGAAAATTAAGCCTACTCAAAGGGTTTAAAGAGAATCAGCAGTGTTAGCTCTCTATATCAAATAAAGCAAACGCTGGAACGCAATGGAAATCTCAGCTCAGCCCAGTGTATGAAATCGTGAGCAGAGCCTCTGTAATTAGGTACTCCAGTACTCCATTTTTTAATACAATTTGTAAGTAAAATAATGAAAGAGAATAGCTTTCTTCCCTATTGCCGAATGTCTTCCCCAAACTCAGTTCTTTAATCACCTCACTAATAATGAATAGCGGTCCCAAACCATTTGCAAAGAGAATATTAAACCTCCGAGTGTGTCATGATGAATAGGAGTGTATGTGAGTGACTCAGAAGGTTGATCTTGTATAACTATCCTTTTGTTCTCATCCCTTTTTCTCTCCTCCCTTTGTTCCCGTAGGGTCCACCCGGTCGCCCTGGTCTCCCTGGTGCTGATGGTTTAGCAGGTCCCCCAGGCACCATGTTAATGTTGCCGGTAAGTTGTACTACGATCACAGGGTAGCCAGCCTTCAAAAAGAGGAAGTGCGTGTCAAGAAACGTATAGGTGTTTTCTTTTTTCATCTGACTTTGTCTTTGGAACGAGAGATGATACAGAGTTTCTTGTATGGTGTAAGCATTTGAAGATCTTACGGTACCTTTTTTCCCTCAAACAAAACATACGCTTTAGCTGCTGCATGGCTGCCAGATTGGAACCTACATGAACGTATTACACTCACTGAAATCCTCCTTATATTTTCAACAGTAACTATTATTTGCTACTATACGTCCTAAACAAGGAGTTTGCTGTTGCACAAAGGGCATGTACTCCCAGCAGGCGTGCGTGCTCTCAAGTCTCCTTGACGTGGAGGATTTTAAGCATTCCGTGCTGAAAATTGGACCTCAGTGTCTTCTTTGAAGAGTCAGTGCATCCTTTGAATAGAAATATATGCACTTAGCCAGCTCTGCTCCCACTGGAGTCAAAGCAAAACACCATCTGTTTTAGCAGGTGGAGGAACAAGCCCAAAGCTGTTAAAGTATCTTGCAGCTTTGTGGTATGAAAAGTACTATATGCGTGGAATTCATTATTCCTAAGTGTATGTGTGTATGTGAAAGCTCTGGTGAGCACTGCCATCCCAGAGAACTGCTAAACCAACTGTAAATGAAGGGGTAGTAATTTTGGTAAGTAAAGCAAAGTAAGTAAAAAGTCTCGGAGCTGTAGTTGCTGCAGTTCTGGTACAGGAGGCAGGACTCCATCAGTATCAATGAGGAAAGGATGATTTTATAAAGTTTATTTTCTATTTATGAAACAATCAATGGACGTTTATTCAAATAAGCTAATGTTTTTGACCTCGTGCTTGCACCAAGTTCTGTTATCGCAGCTGGCCGTGTAACAGAAATATTTGTTTACCAATAATTAGTTGATGGGAAAAACGCCACTACTCCTTAGGGGAATTATTCCCAAATCATTCTTCCGTCTGTAACTGCTGTATCAGTTTGCTCCATTAAAGGTAGTAAGTGTGGACTAATACTTAACCTATCGGTCAGTTTGGGGCTTTATTTTTAGGTGTTAATGAGTCTCAACACAAGTGATTCGCCAGTCAAACCAGAAATTTCTCAGGAAGGAAGAAATTGGCTTCAGGTCTCCCAAATTCCAGCCTAGTATTTTAACGCCCATGCAGAATTCTGTTCCACATTTATAAACCCCACTGAGAAGCCGCTATCCTTTTATAACAGATGACTTGCTCGCTAGCTTGAGAGCCGTCCTGGTGTAAAGGGGCAAACAGGTGGAATCGAATCTTGCGGTGGCAGGCCATCTCGTCACAGAGATACGTTCAAGACACCAAGGAATGCGGGGGATGCAACTTTTGTGGAATGTGTGGCTTTTCGTCATCATGTGTAGGGCTTGAATTCATCAAAATGGGTTCACCTTTTCAATGGATGCAGGACAATGAATTTAGGCACTTTTGCTTGCAAAAGTATTTTGAAAATGTGGTTGAGTCCACGTTATGCAGATCCCTACACACCACCTGGCCCCCTTTCAAATGATACAAGGCTTGGTAGTTCTCATTTTAGAAAAAGCCAGTAAAAAAAGTCAGAAAAGTGCTCATTTGTAGGGGCGTAAAGCAGTCAGTTTTCCATCACTTTCTAAAAAAATCCTTCCATTCTGATGATAATATGACTTCGGGAGAAAGACCTCGGTTACGCGCCAACGCTGGGCGTAGGCAGACTGAAATAACTGCTGTGGGCAGTGAAGGATTTGTGGCCCCGGTACCTGCGTGCCTGCGCCGTACCTTCGGAAAGCAGCGCTTCTTGCACCTTAGTGTCTCTGCAACATTGCGGAGCTTCTGCTGGCAGTTTCATGAGCAGTAACAGTCTAGCAGTGCAGCGCTGAGTACTCTAAATTTTATTCTGTAATTTATTTTGAAGTTGTCAGAAATGACACAAAACTGTTTCATTTTAGATACCAAACTTTTTTCACATTGAAGTCTGCCTTAAATTGAATCATGTTTTTCTGTGGGTAGCTACTGATGTACAGAGAATTAATTAATTTTGATACATATTTTTAATGAGGCTTTCCAGATATTTAGAGTCTATTTTGGCCTCTTTTTGAAACAAACAAAAAAGCAAACAAAATGAAAACCAAAATCCTATGAAATCAAGCAAATCTTTGCTCATAAGGGGTTAGGTTTGCACTTCAGTTCTAAACTATTACCCATGGCTTAATATTCACACTGGCTCCAGTGGCCTCAATGCAGCAGTCTTCTGAAGCTAGTGGAACGAACTAAAGACTGAGACCCTGTGTCTTTGAAGTGGTTTACACAGTCGCAGTGAATAACAAGTCTGGTTTTAATTTGGTAAATTCTGAATCCTTTTCTTGTTTTGATACTTGCAGTTCCGCTTTGGTGGAGATGGTGAGAAGGGCCCGACAATCTCAGCTCAAGAAGCTCAAGCGCAAGCTATTCTTCAGCAAGCTAGGGTGAGCACAAGGAGCCTGCAAACAAAACTGCCACAAGGGTACAGCTCAAAAAAAAAAATTCCATTTTCTATCACGCAGGATGTGAAGTAGAGAGCTCTAAGCGTCACCTCATCGCCGTAGTTATCCGTATTGACAACTGAGTCAATGATGGGGGCTATTCGCTAATGCATTACGGAATTGTATTAACGTAGAATTTGTATGCTGGCTGGCAACTTTTTCTTGATACCTGTTGTTTTGTCCTGTTTGTTTTCTCAGATCGCTATGAGAGGTCCACCTGGTCCCATGGGACTCACTGGAAGACCAGGTCCTGTGGTATGTAAAGAAAACAGGGGCACGGATTTAAGAACACAGTAACGCAAGTCCATGGATCGCATTCTGGCCTTGCCTACACCTCTGTATTTGTACTTATTTTATTTGAAAAGAAACCGATATAATTAAAGCCATAGTTTTTATTCTTATTCAAGGTCTGCAATGCAACCTGAATACTAAATCAGTTTTTATTGTAGATTTTGGGGTGTTTGGATAGAGCACACCGGTAGACTTACAAAACTAGCGAGTAATTTTACAGAAACAACTACATATGCCTCTACAGTCAGTCATCTCTGTACTAATATTCACAAAGTTTCTTGTGGTAAATGTGAAACTCTACAGAAGGAGCAAGAGTGTGCAGGGTGACCTTGGCTCACTAAGCTGAATCTGGAAAGTTCTTAAGAGGCATTCCTATAAGCAATTAAAAACCATACAGATTTCTGAAAGAAATGTAGGTTTTTTACTTTAGTCCTTAATCTGGCTTGACTGCTGATACCGAATGATCTGGAAAATGGCCTTGTGGATGTTAAAAAACCTTAATGTTTGTACAAAGTCTGTACAGGGAACACAACAGTTCTTCTGATGATGTGCAAAACAACTTTTTGATCACAAATAGGTTTGCCTCTGTATTCCCTACAAACACTTTAAAAGGACAATACTCACAACGAAAGAATAAAACCAGGTAGGAAGTTCAGCAAGCCAAAACCACCTGATCAATCTTGCAATTGCAATTTCCTCTTTTAGGAAATGGATACTTTTCAGACTCAATAGTCCACTAAATGGTGTAATTTAGCATTTACCGTCTCTCAAAAAGCTATTCTAAAGCATCTGTACCATGGTATAAAATAACAAATGCTGCAGCCAAGGTTATAAGCTTTGTAGAAGACCAGTCTTTTCTAAATTTCTCCCAGGTGATTGTATTTATCCTCTGATGTAGAGTGAAATTCTATTGTACAGTTAGTACAGCATCTGTATTTGAAAGATCCACTTAATTTGGAAACCGTTTTTTTTTTTTCTGCTGTGATGGCACAGCTAGGTTGGCCTCTAAAATTTTGACCTGTGTCTGCTGTAATTTTTATTTGTATTGTCATTATGGGGATGGATGCGAAGAGTAATGTTAGCAGTTTTCATTAGATCAGACAAGCATCTAGTTATAAAACACAGACAAGAATACAATTGTGCTATTGAGAAATGAAAGCAAGTGACCGCTGGGTAACCAAGAGAAAAGGATGAGACAAGTTGCTGTTGGTTTATTGTGTGAATTAAAAATGACTGCAGCGATACGCCAGTCACAACTATAGCAGCATACATAGAAGACAGCAACGGAAGCTGCTGGAGGCCACCTGGTTTTCTCCTTGCCGCAGAATGCAATAGCATTTTCCTCCAAGGTAGTTTCCGTCCATTCATCCCAGTTGTGGAGGTTGGGTCATTATTTAGAAGTGGTGAGACTGTAGTGTAAGAAATATGGTTCCTTTCCCTTCTTTTGCTCTTCTTCCCTTCTTTAATGTGATGCTTCAGCAACAGCCCAGAGCTGAACAGTAACAATCAAGTCCTCTCCTTCCAACCTCCTCTTTTTCCCTCTCATCCTTACCCTCCTTAATGTACAGCCTCCGTTAGTTTGGAAGCAGGAGAGGCAGGTGGGCATCCTACTGCTACCAACAGCAAATACTGGCTAGGTGGTTGTCCATCTCGTGTGTTACAGCAGCAAAATGCAACTGCAAGGTTGCCGCAGTGGCTCTCGCTGCTATTCCCTCCAGTGACCACTTTTATTAACAAATAAAAGGGGACGTAAAATAATCACGTACCGTTGAAGGACTATTTTAGAGAGCATAAGGAATACTTGGGATCATGTTCTTCCTACCAGCTTAACATTCTCTTCAGTGACTCTTGAAAGCTCCGTGGTACTAAAACTGTGGTAAGCTGGATTCTCGGTTGCCTCGGTAGTGCTTTGCCTCATCTTCACGTAGCGTCAAAAACTCGGTTCCAGATTATGCTGTGCTCCAGACTGGCCAGCCTCATGGATCTGGTCTGTTTAGCTAGGTGAAATTTACTGTTTTCAAGTAAATTTTAGCTAAATATCCCACCAGAATCTCACTTGGTCCCCAGAAACTGAAATCACTGGACATTATTCGTATTTTTAAGCAGACCTATACAAGAACAATTCTTTTCTAGAGTAATTCTTCCAAAGTAAATAGTTGCTACCAAGCAGAGAATTTGGCTCACAGACCCCTAGTTCATCACGATTAGGTACGCAATACTTACCAATAGTCAAACACGCCGGGTCTATTTAACAAACACACACTATTTCCAGCAGTGTACTTAAATCAAGAGCCCTGCAGGATGACATGCAGTCTATACTGACAAAATAACTATAGAACTGCTGTAAGCAAGGCATTAATTTGTAAAGACCAGTATAACATCGACAGTGAGTTGTAGACCTTTAGCTGAGGTATAACCTGGCCTCGTGCTTTCATGTTTTAAAAGCTTTCCTGAATTTCTGTATGCAAAGTTCAACAAATGAGTAATATTAATAGTTGTTTTGCTTCTAAGCCACCAGGAGGCTCTAGAAATCTGGCAGCGTTTTTGGCCTACGGTTCCAGAAGCAACTACAGATTCTTGGCCTGTCAATTGTTCGTGTGCCCAGCTTATTTTAAGAATGAAATAGTTGGAGCTTTTACTCTTACTATGAACTGTATTTTGTTAAATTATTAGTAGCCAGTAAGGTTCATTTAGAAACATATCCGTTATTAGACGTCTTAAACATAGCACTGTCAAAGCCCCAGTCTAGCTCCAGTGGGTCTGGAGTTCACATGCTTAATTAACATAGAATACAAAATAAATTTCTGCCTGCAGATACTAAATGTAGTCAGTTATATTAACTGAAAGCAGAGCTCACATCAGGGAAGCCCAAACAGACAGTCACCACCTAGCAGAGCCCCTCTTCTCTCCACTGCCAGTACCAGCTCAGGATCTGATTTTCAGTTTGCTTAGGACTTGATTCAAATCCCGCAAGGCCAGCGGGAATCTTTCCACTCCAGGATGCCAGGCGGGCACTAAGCCAAGCCGTGAGACCGCTTCTTTCTTTGGGTGGGCACTATGGTGAATACAGGAGGGTTACCAGTTTTCCAAGGTCTGCAAGATTCGTTTCCTATTAAATGCATACATTTGGTCACGGCCTGTTTCAGAGGTCAGAAATGGGAAAACTCTTTTGCCCGTAATAGGAAACTCCATGTTCCTTCCCTGAGCCTGTATGCTCTGTGAGCACATCGAGATTTTTTGGTTTGTCTTGTCTATTTTTGTGAGACCACTCTTAAGAAAACACAAACTTACTTCGACTGGTTCTGCCCCAGATACCATGGACAGTATCTTACCCTGGATGAAGGTCTGGTTTAGGTCTGTTTATGAGTAAAACTTACTCTGAAAATCTGTATCATCATTTAACGATAGCAAAGAGGTGCAGTTATATAGATTTTCCACTTTGTCAGGGCCAGGTGCACAAAGACCTTGATTAAAACGTCGCTGAAGTTCATGACAGGATTAGACAGGGTATTTTTCATCGACTGTAGTGATCTTTGGATTGAACTCCACGACTCTGTTGTGTTCTGTACAACACAGAAATAGATAAAGGTAAAAAAAGCTGGCTTTCATTCCTGTTGCCTTCCCTACAGCAGATGCACTGTGTGCATGACTTAGCTCCGTACTGTGCTCATATTTAGCTCTCAAATATTAATATAGAGCAAAGGGTTACCTTTGGCCCCATTCAAATCGAGGGGAATTTTCTTTGATAATGGAAAGATTTTTGGCCCAGTTAGGCCCAGTGTCTAGACAATGACATATCAGGGTATACCTGCAGATTCAAATGGTGAATTCACACCTCCTAATGCATAGGGGATTGTTTGTTTTTTCTCCCTGTAATTAATGTACAGAAATAGTAACATTCATTTAAAGAGGTTTTTGTATGTTTAAACAGTATGTTTTGCTTTTTTCATCAAGGGTGGACCTGGAGCAGCAGGTGCTAAGGGTGAAAGTGGTGAACCAGGTCCCCAGGTACAATAATATTGCCTGTTATGTTTGAGCTTGTTTATCTTTAAGAGAATGCATTCATATCACTTAGAAGAAATCAATCAATGCTAAGCTTTCCGTGTGCAATTGAAGAAAAGGAGCTTTTACAGTACTATCCTAATTAAATGCAATCGCTTGATTGTTCATTTTGAAGCACGAAAGTAGCAATCTTTGTATAACAGAGCAATTATCACAGGTAGAGTGTCGTCACTGGAAAACCTGGTTTAATATTGTCTCTTCAGGCTCTGTTCTGGGTTAAATAATCATATGTCAGTCTGCAATTCTCTGGCCTTGGGCTCTGATCTTATCAGATCACATAAGGTGAGAGAGGTTGAATTTAGTTGGTAATTAAACAGGATATTTTCAAGGCAGACGTGACATAGCAAGAATAAGTCTTTAGGAATCAGTGCATGCTTTTCTTCTCAGCTTACTATTATGTCAGCTCCTGTGCAGTGGTGTTAAAGAGCACTGAAACACATTGAAATAGTTCAGCTTAAACCTGAAAGTAATACGGGGTTCTTAAAGAAATCGTAATAGGAGTCTCCGGAACAGTGATTTTGCCAGATCTCAAGTGGCATCATGGATTTGCTACTTTATTAAGTGCCTGTCTTAAAACTCCACAGGGATATTTGCAGAAGAAAAATAAAGCAATTAAACAAAAAAGGACTCTGAACAGTTGGTCAGTCTTCCAGTTTGCTTACTTACATTCTTAGATTTTTTTTCTCTTCCTACTCAGTATTTTTGGATGGCTAGTCCTTACCATTGCTATTTTCACCTAAAGAAGATGCATTTGGGTGGGTGATGAGAAAGCTTCCACACAAACATATGCCCACACAGCTGTCAGTGGAAGTTCCATGTGTTTGAAAAGCAGAATTAGGTTTTTCAGTCTAGGGTAATTTGTTCTCCCTCTAGTTAAAACTGTGCTGTGTAAAGCTAAGACAGCATGTGAGCTGTTTACCAGCACAACTCATGTTTGTGTATGAGTTAGGGATCTGAAATAAGCGCTCTTTAGTTTTCATCAGATAATTACTATGTGACTAAAATAATTTTGGCATGAGAGGAGGAAGGATTTTCAAACGACAGGCCTGAGATCTTCAAAGCCGTGAAAAGAATGTAAGAAGCTTTTATGCCATGTACAGTGCCATCTCACGAAAACTAGCGTTACAATTGGTAGTGCTAAGGCCAGTTTGGATGCCCGTGTTCTATTAAAACTAATGGGAATTTGGAAACCAGAATCCATCTCCTGGGAAAAAAAATGCAGCTTTGTGTATAAAAAAAAAAAAATCTTATCTTGTTCTTAAGGTGAGATGTTTAACTAGCTTTTTGCTGACATGAATGTGATTCTAAGAATTACGCTTTTTAAATTCAGGGTCCTCGTGGTATTCAAGGTGCCCCTGGTCCAAGTGGAAAAGCTGGCAAAAGGGTAGGTAGCGCATGGATCAATCCTGCTCCGGATAAATAGTTTCTATTTAAATATTAACTGATTCCACTGCATTTTCAAATGTTTGCCCCTTTGGGTTTTTGCAGGGACGTCCTGGAGCTGATGGTGCCAGAGGAATGCCAGGAGAACCTGGTGCAAAGGTAAATAATAACAAGACCCGAGGCTTTATTTCAGTCTTGGAACGGGCTAGACAGATTTTATGCAGGTGCCACAGTTTCTTCCAGGCCAACCCAAAATTCTCCTCTCAAGTGAAAATACCGTGGTTTCAGATAGCTGGGTCAGATGCAAGAGCCGAGAATGAATCATCCATTTAAAATATGGTAATTAATGGTAATGGCTGGTAGTCTGACCCTGAAGTAACTTGATTCTTGGGGCACGATTCCTGTCCCTCTGAGTCAGTTTCTAGTTCCAGGGTATCAATAATAGTAAAGTCAGTTTTGCAACTGCAAAGTGCAGCTGGAATCAAGCTTTTCATTTCAATGTAGACTTCTTTTTATGAACAGCATAATTACAGCACAGTGAAAAAGCTGGTGCAGCGTCTTCTCTTGCGTTAATGCACAGAAGCGAATTTTGTGAATTTGATCTATCTGCTCCCCTCCACGTGTTTCATTCAATAACAAAAGTGTACGTATAACCAAAGGTAGAAATTAACTTTTAGAGGGAAGGCACAATTTATTGAGAGTAATACACAGCAAAATAGTCATTTACTAAAGCTGTGATTTCTTTTTTCCTAGGGTGACAGAGGATTTGATGGTCTTCCTGGCCTCCCTGGTGACAAAGGTAACAGGGTAAGAAAACCATGTGTATTTATACAACAACAAATTGATACCATCACAGAAATAATGCACTATTCATTAAGAATAGCACTAAGGACTATGGGGAAAGTTAAAACAGAATGTCTGTTAAAACAGCTGCTCACACTACAGAATAATATCTATATTGTCAGGTAATGTATTCCTCATGAAACATTTGAGCAATATCAATCAATAGGCAAAAATTCATATATATATATAAATGATTTAAATATATTTTCAGAATTCAGATCACATCTTCAGCTAGGCTTTGCTCTAATTTTTCTTAGTTAAGGAATTTGCCTGTTGGATTCAAAGTGATTGTTAAAGGAAATAGTAACAGGAAAAGGAAATTAGCATGAAGTTTCTGTATCAGGAGCGTGACAAATTTTAACCTGCTGAGAAGCCTGCTCAAAAATGCATTTGAATATTTGAATTGCAAACTGAATTGTTTAGGGTGGTTTACTCCAACAACTGCAGCTTAAAGAAAGATCAGAGTCAGGTCAGATAAGTTAGGAAAACTTGAAGTAATATTTAAAACAACTAATGTACTTGCTCCTTACGTTGTACCAATCTGTAGGATGAGACTGCTTCTTTCCCTGCAAGGTGTGAAAATAATCATAGCAGGGGATTTCTGCTTTAAATTACACCCCAATGTAGATGCTAGTAACAACAGACTCTACTGAATGTACCTCCCTTACTGTTGTCCTGGTAAGTGCAACGCACCGTAAAAGAAGCAGGGAGTGGGAATGTCAACGGAACCATTCCCATATGTGCTAAAGCTTGATGACCAAGGAATGACGATAGCTCTCATGCTTCTATGGGTTAGCACTTCCCAGAAAACCACAGCTGTGTCGGCTACTGGTTCATAATGCAGTTCTTTGTATTAGTATCTAAGGATGCTCTTTTGAGTTCTATTTGCAACGCGAAAAGAACTTCTAGTGTGATACAGAAATGTCTTGATCCTCTTCCATCATTCCCTTTGACTTAAAAGAGTGTAAAGCAATCGGCGCGTCATGTAATTGAAATCCAGCTTCATCAGCAGGTGACCAGCAGAGGGGGCTGGACATTAAGCTCTTGCCGCTACCTCACTCTTGGAAGGCTGAGCAGAAATTGGTTCAGAGTCAGGGAATGTGCGTCTGCTTTCCAACCTGGAATACTACAATTGTCTGTCGGTGGGACCTTCCAAGTCATCAAGAAATTAAACTTTTTTTTTTTAATATTCTATTTGTTTCATATTTCCTAAACAAATAAGAAAAACTAAAATAGAAGAATAAGTTTGGGTTGAAATTTGCAAAATAGTAAGGAAAATAATGACTTCCTTTCATCATTTCTTTCATCCCACTATTTAAAAAGCACTGCATTCTTATCTGTCTGTGGAAATCTTCTGTAAAAGTACAACCTATGATCTTTCTGAAAGCAGCTCAATTCAAAGGTGTAGCTCTTCGGATTCGTAGGTACCAACAGCATATAATGCAAATATTCAGTTCTCTTTGGCTTGCAATAAAGAGCACAGAAAGAAAGAGAAGAGAAACACTTTTTCTGTTGTAGTTGTGTTTCAGCTGTAAGAGAATTGATGATGAAAACCCATAACTTTAGAAGTTGTAGGACTACTTTTAGAATTAGTCATAGTGGAAGTATGAGTTGCAAATTGGATGTCTCTCTGAGGTTATGACTCTGTCAAACGCAAGTTATCAGACAGGATTTACGGGATGAGAGCCTCTGACTTCCAGTGGAGGGGAGATCAGACCACATGGCGTAATATCCCTTTTAGCCTCAATATCTATGACTTTGAACTTTTCTTATTTAGATTTACCAGATGCGTAACCCTTCTCCAGTATAAAAGCAAGACACTATATACTAGAAGAAAAGGTCTAAGGAAAAAGAAACTCAGGTTTTAACAGAACATTTGAAGGAAAGAACTGAGAATGCTGATAACGATAGGAGGTTTTGTTCTTACTGCATGACAGTACAAGGACACTGAATGCGAGCTCCTAATCTAAGTGCCATGGGATTGCAAGACAAGAAAGGTAGCCCTCGAGGGGATGAACTATTCCAGTATTTGAAAGCTTAAGTCAGTCTTCACCTGGATATTAATTGGAAGCCAGAGCCCAGATGATGTGTCTCATGTGTCACCTTTTGGGATTGTCATTTAGCACATAGAAAAACACATGCTCTGCCGGCAGATCACGTTGAGTAGTTCCAAAACTTTGCAAAATGTAGAAATTGCTGTATTAATTCATCTTACAGGTATGAAAGCGCAGGCCATAGTATTTCATTCTCTCCCACACCAAACCCAACTTAAAGAGGACAGAAAGGCAGTAGAATAAAACCCTGACATCCCTAATACTGCATAGCTCTGGGGTAAGAGAGTAAGTTACCTAAAATACCCTAGGAAAGTTTGAAAGAGTAAAGAACGGAGCCACTGAAGAGTGACTCCATATATCTTTTGCTAGGATCCACAGCAGCGGTCAGGCTCCTTGGAGACACTGATAAAATTAAGGGAAACAGCATGAATACTTGGTTGTTTTCCAATGCCAGAAGGAAGTCACAGTCTAAAAACCCGCTGCCCATAAAGAGGTCAGTCAGTGGTGTTTGAGCTATGCAGCACACTAGTTCTCTTCAGAAATGGGGAAAGAAAAATAAATCCTAAAAGCATGGTCCAGAAGCTACTGAGGCTCTGCATATATAGACTTGAAAAGCCCCGGCCTCTGAGGGGAAGCATGGAAGCCTGGCTGCCTTCCAAAGCCTCAGACAAATCGGTCCCAAGGCTCTCGGTGACTGGTGCCAGGCTGCGTGGTTCGGGAAGGCGGTCACTGCGCTTCACCGCGGGGACTCCGAGGCCCAGCGATTGGTTTGTTCACTTCTGACCCACGTACACATGCCTTATTTTACTGGCAGTAATACGGCGTGTAGGGGGAGCGGGAAGGTGCTGATGAGACAACAACAAAAAAAAAAAAAATGCGGGTAAGTGCTTTTTGTAGGAGTAGTTTGTGTATGCTCTGGGGCCAAGAGTAGTTGCAGAGTGAAATTTTACACACACAAATAGTTCATTGTTTCAATAATGTTCATTTGTTCTTATACTAATGTAATAAAAGACTTTACTGAGTACTGTAACCTACAGATGTGTATCGTTGTGTCAAGACATGTTTTGACACATCAGACTTCAGCGAACACATTTGTTTTCATTTCCCTTCCCATCCATTATTGTTTGCAGCAACAGATGTATTATTTTAACCACTTTCCTTGTTCTATAGGGAGACCGCGGCCCACAGGGACCTCCTGGCTTACCTGGTGAAGACGGATCAAGAGTAAGTTGCTATTTACACAGCAAAATCCAGAGTGAATCTTCATGTCATGGGAATATGGTCGTGATACACGTTCTTTTTTTCTAAAGCTTCTATTCCCTTTATACAAAAACAGGGAGAAGATGGGGAAGTTGGACCAAGAGGGCTCCCAGGTGAAGCTGTAAGCATTGCTTTCTTGTTCTTCTGTTTCTGTTACAAACAAAAGTCACTCTCAGATTTTTTTTCCTTTCTATTGAACTGTTCTGAATTCCCGGTATAAAAATTACTGCCTGTGCGGGTATATAGAAAGGACTGATTCTGGCTGAAAAGCAAACAAATGAACGGTTTTGTTAGGGGTGAAACACTACTTAGAGGATTAGAATTGTCAGGGATATATCCAGCCAAGTATACCCAACCTCCAGCATCACAAAGGCTATTGTGTAAAATCAGTCACTGCAGTCCTTGCTACATGAGAATATAACCAAGCCCCTCTTGCTTTGAAAATGTCTTCCAAACATCTATTTATTAGAAAAGAAGGCCTGGCTTCTCCTCTTTTTTCACACTGCTGTGCTTCATGGTGTGTTTTTACACTTGTTTCACATACAGAATTTGCACTGCTGTCAGTTGGAATTCTGCAGGTGCTGTCACTGCAGAGCAGAGTTCTGCATTGCAGGGAAGAAATCAAGCCTCAGAAAGGGGAATTTCACCCTAAAAGTATGATAGACTGCTGCCTACTCGCAAAGTAGGAAGAAGTCTCTACAGAGTCTGAGTGTTAGTGATTTGTGACTTTATCATACATGAGGAGACTGGAGACTCAGTCCTGCCTACTTCAGCAGCGTGACGTGAATGGTGACACAAATGATGGAAACTAATACTCATTTACGTAGTATAAAGCCACAAGATTATGTTATAGGCCAAATCTTGCTCACCTTATTTAGGAGAACAGGCCTTGGTCTTTTGTGGAATTTTTTTAGGGGTAAGAGAAGCAAATCTGATTTTGGTTTCATGAATGCCTCGCACTTACTATAATAAAATTATTAGTAGTTTTTAATTATTTATTGGCTCTTTACTACAGATAAAAGCACTGTTTTACACTTAGAATAGTACTATAGAGTATGACAGACCTCCGTGTTTTCTAAAAGCAGGAATACAAACATGTATGCTACTATTCAGGTCAGACCTTCAGGCCAAGACACAGCTGAAACTTCAGTGGAAGAGGCTGTGCCAGTGTTCTGCACCGCGAAATATAAAGTTATCTCCTACCGTTCTCCAAAATGACCACACAGCAGCTAAATCAAAGCTTGGCCTTTCACTGACACCCTGTTCAGATGTGTAGTGGCCCTCAGCAGAATCTGCTATCAGTGAATTTTTTTCCTTTCTTTCTCTCTCCCTCAACCCCCATGCTGCCTTCCCCTCATCCTTGCGATCC